GTGATACGCATAGCTTATCTTTTCCTGCACAATGCGTAGCACAAATATATATTTGTTTTGTAGAACATAAATTCTCTTCACATGGTGGAATAAGAATTTAACAAGAGAGAAATGCAAAGTTTCTCTTCATTTTTCCCACTCTTTAGAAAATAATTAATTTATTTAATTTAACTGTGTGTGTGTTTATGCGAATAGATACATAAACATAACTTCTAATTTTCATACGAAAATGCTTTTCAAAGTGGGGTTAATGCATTCTCTTTTAAAAATACATATAAGGGTCTTGGTTATGTTTATGTGTACGTACGTACATCTGAACAGATACCGTGTAACTTTCGACATATCGTACGCGCATCTATTATACGAATGTTTGCACAAAGACAGTATTTTTTTATTCTTTTTTTTCCTCTTTATGCGTGCATTTGGTTGTGTGCGAGTAAAGAAAGGCAAAGAGAAAAAGAGGAAGCACCCAATTTTGTTATAAATTAAATAAAAAACAATAAATATATTTTTGTATTTTTATGAAACATTAGCAATAAATTAAAGATTGTTTTTTCTTGTTATCAACATAAATTGTATGCGAAAGTTGTTCTCCATTTATTTGCCTAAATATTTGCGTATTTCCTATGTTTATTAAGCATCATAGAAAATATAAAGTTGTACAAAATGTTTTATTTCTTTGCGTATTTTTTACGCAATTTTATTTTCTTTTAATGGTTTTTAAAGGTACACTCTTGGATATTTTTAAGTGAAGGCCCCGTCATGGCATAATATATACAACAACAAAATTGAAGTGAGGACGAATTAGGAGGAATCAATTTAGGATTCCGACTAAGCATTTTTCGCCAAAGTCATGGATACGAAATTTTGAACTTAGATTTTTTGTATTGCCACTCATTAGTATTTCTGTAAGACACATGCTTATTTACCAACTCTCAATGGAAACAACTTTTACACTCATCGTCCAAAGATGTGAGAAGCCGGTCGTCTTTTTCGAGTGTCCTATCACGAAGTGTATTATTTTCTCGATTAACCAATTTAGCGAAGACCACAATAAACAAAATACCAAGGATTCCTATAAAAAGTGCATATTAACTGACATACCGTTAGCTACTTCCTGCAAGTCATGTTTTATCTAAAGGAAGCATGCCTACTTGGACGATCGCAATAGCTGAATAGACTAGTACTGCTTCAAAGCACAAAAAAAAAAAAACAATTGGACTTTCACTAGCTATAATGTGGAATAAGTCGGCTATAAAAGCAAGAAATTTTTAAAAAAGGTCCTTCGTTTTTCCTGTGACAGCAGATCATATAACTGTAATCTTTACATTGCATCTGATCTGCATTTTAGCAAGTGGAAAAACCAAATAAAATTTATGCTCGAAAAAAAAGCCATTAAAAGTTTTAAAATGAATATAAATATTATATCGTATAAATCACAAACATATGCATTCGTGTTCATAAGTTTGTGTAAATAATGTTTTGAAAATTTTCAATTGTAATCGAGCTTTAGCGGCAAATTGATTTACTATTTAGTGACATAAAGCGTCATAGTATATGTAGATGGATATATGCGTTCCTATTAAGATTGTTCGCACACATTTTAAGCTACTTTTTGTATAAAATCTACTATGATCATATGACTGTATATGCATTTGTGTGTGTATGTTGACAAACTTCAATTCAGTTTATGCCATAAATTACAAATGTTATCTGGATTTATCGATACAAAATCATTCACTTGATTGAGCTTCCACTTATCCGATTGTTTATATACATATATATATATGAGCGTATATATGCTTGGGTTAATGCTACGGAACGTGATTTTTATTTATTTATTTATAATACCAGTTCTCTCTATATAAATAGAGGTATTCGTATTTGCCTATGCATGCCGGCTCATGCAATTTCTCTTTATTTGTTTTTGAATTTGTGTGCAAATGTTTGCCAATCTCTGTCTGACTACTCCATCCATTTGCCAGGACATGTTCAATAGACTCTTATGCTAAATTTATGTTATCAAACACTGAAAATGACATTATGTTGTGTTAGTGTTGACACTTTTCTCTGTGCTTTCCTCCCGCTCGCTCTCTTCCTTACAGTCTCTCTTCCCCTTCCATCTTTAAACAGTTAATAGAATCGCAATTTAATAAACATCCCAAATCAACCATCCGAGTACAATGCATAGATCACCGTATACATGTACTTTATGCACGAATAAAAGCATTCTTGCACACACTGTAAAATGTCCACTTACATATATATATATATACATTTGCGAATAAAAATGTTTTCACGATTCTATCAATGGTTTAATCACTAAAGTATTGGTGATTTACTAAAAAGTGATTAAACTTTTGTATTAACCGTTATTCCATTCATTTATTGAACCAAAACAATTATAACGGCATAACGTGGAAAAAGAATTGTATAGAAAGTATAAAAATAAGGATTCTGTGCTAAGCCCCAAAACATTTTCGTGGCAGACAATATTCCATACAACATGGAATGCGGCAGCGAAAATTCAGCGCATCGTCTATAAAAACTCGCTGCCCTCTGTAGCAATCAGCACATATCCGTTCATTCTATCGTAATTGCAAATTTAGATGCATCGAAATCAAGCAATGTTGGCGAAAGTCAGCCATTAAACGAATCACCCAAGGAGTTAATAACTGCGGAGATGCGCCATGGCCCAACCAGATACTCTTCCCCATCACAGGCAATATCTGATAATGCAAATATAACTCAACAACGCTGCGAAGATCGAGAAGGAAAAGACACAAAAACAAATATATATATATATATACATATATATACTTAATCAGAACAATACTCTGTCTTATTGTCCTCAGTCCTCATTGCAGGTCATGAATAAAAAGTTAAAATTTAGTCCCGAATCGATTTCACGAATCACATACGATAATGAATCGCCTCAACAATTTTCAAAATTTGCAAAGCTATTTCCACTCTATTCTATCTGTAAGTATAAGATCCTATTACGAAATATACTTAATATATATTGCTATATGGTGATCCTACTATTTAATGGACGGTCTATCGAGAAAAGTCTGTACGCAGTCTAAAAATCTTCGAATATAGCGATCACCATAAACAGGAGAAATGCTTAAGAACGCAGAGCTTTAATATTATGCGTATGAGTTGGAAATTAAAACGTATCCTTTAAAATAACATGTCGAATGCCATAAAATTTGTTTCCGATTGAATAATTGTTAAAAGAAATGTTCAGTTTACTTTTATGTAAGCTTAGTGGAATCATCAATCAAATGGTACTGGGTTGCCACACAACAATCTATTTTCCAGAATTTCTCAAGCGTAAAGCGAAAACGAGCCATTCGTATATTCATCATCATAGACAATAGACCCTCTCTGTACACAAATGCCTGGTGGTGGTCCTTTTTATTATTAAATCAGAAGGGCTCGAGGCGTGACTCACGCAAACCAAGACGACTGATGCGTTTCTGAAAATGCCTTAAGTTCAATGACGCGGAAGCTATGCATGGACATTTTTAACTGTTTATATAAATTCCTAAAGCGACTTGTTATCTTATCTTATCTTATCTTGATTTTTCATTATACGCAAAATAAACTATATAAAGTATGTTGCATAACAACATAATATTTTATGTTATCTTATTATTATTATTATTATTAATTTCGCCACAGAAATAAATTCTAAGACTAAACTCTTAAAAGCACTAGCATCTAAGGCTATCGGCTTTTATTAAAAACTCTACCGCACTTGAGATTCGAACCCACGACCATTGACTTGCTAGTCGAGATTCCTCCCCTTCGGCTACTCAGGCGGATTTATGTTATCTTATATCATATTATTGCATAATATATTATATTATTAAACACTTTTTAGTAAACTAAAAATTAAAAAAAAAATAATTCAAAGAATACCCTATTGAAAGTAGTGCCCATCGTTAGACACCGCTTTTCGCACTTTTATGCCAGCATATGTCCGAGCACTAACACGTTGAAAAATATCCTTGTCATATTATCTGGCGCATTGTGCCGCTTTGCAGTCCATTGCATCAGTTATTGTCGTAAATGTTTCTTAGTGTCGTAAATGTTAGTTAGTTGACTTCGTCGGACGCAGGCACCCCTGGACACTCATAGTAAACTAGAGATAGTCGCTTGATTCACATGCGAGCCCACGAACATTCTGTTTCGATGTTAATGGTCTGACCTCACCTAATCAAAGATTTTGCGCTTGAAATATTGCCCAGATATTTCGTCTTGTATATTCATTTTCTAGCATACGTTACAACTTAGCAACACATTCCGGCGAACTTGGCGAGAAAAATGGCGCTTTTGGGTTCTAAGGAAAGCGTAAAGTATTGCTTTCTAATCGCAATATCGTTCGGGAACTTTGCAAGTATATGTGTTTCTGAGTAAGTATCGGGCCACTGAAAATAATTAAAAAAAAAAAAAATTGGTGTAGTTGACCAAATGTTTTGTTTTTTTCCATAATGTATGTAATACCGAAAAGGAAGCTTCAGCGACCCTACAAACTACATATATATTCTTGATCAAATTCTGAACTGATTGAGTCAGGTCTGTCCGCCTGTGCTTCTGTGTGGTGTTCGTTATTAGCAGTCTCCTGGTCGTAAAACCGAAGATATCGACTTCAAATTTGTTAGAAACATTCGAAGACTTTGCACGTAAGTTAGTATTGGAAATGGGCCAGAGTCGGCCAGAGCAGCAGTGCGCAGCTCCGTTTTTCTTAATAAAAATTTGTAGGTTTTTGCTCACTACTTACATATTATAAAAGATAGAAAACTCAAATTATCTCCATTTACTTTGCACTCTACACTCTAGTCGTTACCTGCAAAAATGGGAAAAATCGGCCATGCCCACAAAATATTACAAGCAATTAAATTATCTTTTTTCACTTTTTTAAGATTTTATACTATTTTGTACGTTCCTCAAATGAAGATATATTATCTGTCTAAAAATAGGTTAATTCCAAAATGGCTATAATGGACACCGCGACCCTTTTTCTTAATAACATCAGCGACATGGGCATCGTAGAGAAGAACTTGGAAGGCGGAATGCAAAAATCATGGTGGTGAGTACACGAGATTCGGGCCCCGTCGAATGTAACTTTCTTACTTGTTTTATATGTTATGTGCAGAATTGTAAACTAAATTTGATGTTTAATACGCTCTCTCTAACTGACCTTATGCCCGTTTCCACTCGAAATGGCACTATATTATATATACATGGCGAAGACTTTGACATTGACATCTAATGCATACTCTTAAGCTCAGTATCTCAATCTTCTGTTATAGGTTATTGTATTCGGTTTTTTTTAAAGTTTTATATCAACTTTTTTAACCCAACCCGAGGTATTTTTATTAGAGAACACTTGAATATTTTACATGTTCGTACCTACGGAGACACACAATGTAAGGAGAGATTATGTAAAACACAAGAAATTTGCATAAAAACATTTCTCTCTTTGTTGGAATTTTTTGTCAAATTTCATCTGCAAAAATCGTAACACACTCTTATTCGTACACGCGCACATATACGCATACATAAGACTTGCTTATGATTTATATAGTTTAAATAATTTTGTTACTCAACTTTGCTCAGATTCATACCTGTAGGAGAATTTGTGTATGCGGGGGATCTGTTGAACGTGTAAGTGTGCCTATAAAAAATCCCTGTGTTCTCTTTCATTGTTTTTAGGACGCATGGCATCGTAACAACAGTACCAGCAATACCACAACTGAAATTCCATCCGAGTAGAGTTTTTGGGCTAAAAATTTTGTTTATATAAAATTCCAAAATGTTTTTAGTATTTTCATGCCAGAATATAATACTTACGTGAATACTTCTTCCTTTACAAACGTGTGTGTATATACGCGTCAATGTGCTTTTGATTTACTTGCAACAATTTCCCTGATCAGCATATATATACGCGTATATGAATGAAGGTTAGGATATCGAAAATATTCTAGGAAAATAAGGAAGAGTATGCTTACGCGCGCTGCTTACCAATTATAATTTTTTTCTTTACCCTTCGAAGACTTTTCATACTTTCGTTTACTTTTTAATCCCATTTCTTTCTTAAACTTTCTTTTCGGCTCATGTAAGCGAATCTATAAGCAAAAACTTTTAAAAGGTTTATAAGATTTTTAATATCTTTTTTTTTGTTCAACTCCCTCTTGTTTTGTTATCAACAAGTATTTGCTTATTTTTATTTTCATTTCTATTTTTTTTGCGGAATCGATGTATGACGCGTGCCAAAACGTGTTTATTTGTTGGTGGGTGTGTGCTTCGCTAAAAAAAATTCTGTCGAGAAAAGCATTGGTTACCTGTTGTGCAGTTTGACCTGAAGACCAACATTGTTAGGTATTGGAGCTTAAATTTCTTGATACTATATGCATGGACGCCTATGTGTATACTTGTATATGCATATTTGATCTGCGAACAAGTAGAAATACGGCTTACATTTTAAATGCGAGATATTTGCCGGTATGCAGCACATGAAATTTATGTTGTTACGAAAATCACATACTTCCCAAAATATTAAGAATGGAATTTCTAAAATTTTACAAAACGGAACGAAGTAATGTATGATTGAAGTAAGTAATGATTTTCAATGATTTATTTATCAGTGGCATATGCACGTAATACATTCGCTTTATAAAAATGGAGATTTTCAACAATTTCTATGATAGTAAATATATATGAATATATATATATATATATGTGCGTTTTTATTAGATACAGAGAAGGTATAAGAGTAACCCTACTTGCGTAACACTATGTATGAGCATAAAATAATCCCTGCCACGATAAACTTGGCTTAAATGACTTAAGACCTACTTTTCACTGCCGATTACATTTGCGCTACCAATTACTTTTAAAAGGGAGGATTGTCTCCACATACACATTCTTCATGAGTTCTGAAACGTCTACAAAACTGCTAAAATCAGCCACTGCACATGAGAGATGCCATGTTCCATGTAAAAGCTAGCACTTCTTTAAATTATGCATCCTATCGCAGAAAATTCATTATCAGGAACGCATCGTTTGAGGAGAGATTTTAAACATTTACTTATATTATAGCATAAATACAAAAAATACATATGCACTTTTAATGAGAAAGCGATGGGCAAGAGGCCTATGACGTCGATTTTTTATCGCATGTAACAACTTAACGGTTTATAACATATAGAAAGTCACATAAAACAAGACGATATCCCGATCTAGTAATTATAAAGTGTTGTTATATTTTCCGCTCAAAAATCCGAATTATTGTATTGTTTTGTTTTTATAGTACACATCGAGAACTTACATCGAAATTCCTACATAAGCCGGAAGCGTCCCCCTTCGCTATAATGGAGACACCGGATGCTTACACCGGATGCGCCTTATTGATTCTGTGTATATGCCCATGGAAAAATCCACTTGCATATGTGTATACCCACACATATGTATATACATGAAAGTCGCCTAATTATCGCTTATTAATTCATTTCTTATATTTCAACGTTTTTTTAACAAAAAAATTCAATATTTGCTAAGGAAATGATGATTTACATACATATTCACGTGATAACTCGACTGTGTCATTTTTTTTGAGAGCGATCTAAACTGCTGTTGGGCTATCAGTTCGCGTAAAATAATGTGTTAAAATCTTTTACTTTACCTTTCATGTAACTTTCATGATGGCCGTCTGTCTTTTGGAATCTGGCCATATATCGCTCGATATGTGGACCCTCCTTTTGAATGATATTTATAATTTAATCTCAATATCAAATAAACTCCCCTTAATATGCACGTTTTTCCTCAATTACCTCTGAACTATCTTTTAATATTTCAAGCTTCGTATGACTCGCAAATTAAACTGAATGTGCCCGTTACTATCGGTTGGCAAACTTTTCCATGTTTGCGTCGACATAGCAGTTCACTCCTGCCTCGGATCTATACCAATCTCGACCTGCTCCCGCGATAGGTATGTGCATGACTTTTCTCTTCTTTATTTTTTCGCTTACTTACTTATTTATAGAATACGCGGATTTGATTTTTTTCATCCCTTCTTTACTCTTTGTACTTTATAAAAGTTAAGTCGTAATGCTTATCATAAGATTTATTTTTAAGTGTACCTAATTTCATGCATGTATGCAAACAATCGATAAATGAAATAAATATTCAATAATACTCTGTCGTAACTGTGCGTACCTTACGAGGAATAGTTCCTTTTTTCAATTTCAAATAAATATCATTGAACCTGCATTGTCATAAGGGCTTGCGAATGCACCTTCAGTCTACCAAATTAAAAGCAATTTTCCTGCCGAGTTGAATGAAAGCATACAATTCCTTGTCGCCATCTTTCCATTTGTCTCTAATGACTCCGGCACCTGATAAAGATCGCATTACGTGCATTACGGCGTTTATTGAAGGTCATGATCTCGTGAATCCCTGCTGATTATTCAAGAGAGCTTTTCTTCTTCCACGGAAAGCACGCGTTTGTATGCGATCTAACAATTTCTAATAATTTGTCCGTTGTGGTCATACGGCAAATACAAGGACATCTCTTTCAGCAGCGGCCCCTCGCCCGAACGAAGATTTCAGGTGTTACTCGGATCATTAGGACTCCGTTTAGACATTTCTATCCGCAAGCTTATGATTGATTCTTAGCTATTCCCATACGTGGAGAGAGCTGAAATTCTCCTTCGTTGGAATGCCGGGGTAAGCCTCAGGGGCTATTCCATGCGTCCTTACCTTCGGTGTTTATTTTTCTCTTCTCAATAAAATTCTTAATATCTCCATTTAAACGCCATCATCAAATTTATTAAATGTTCTCTACGAATCTGATCAATGGTTCCTAAGCCTTCAAATAAACGAATTGAACTATATTTGATTTTTGAGCTATCGCTTCTATAAGTCGGTCCATTCGGAGGAACAATTTTGTGAATTTTACCTATTCGGCTCCTCTATGTGTATATTACTTGCAGATGGTGACGGATTTCTTTCTCCGCTAGTCTCTGTTCGAAAACGAATTGGCGTTGCCAATCGGTTAGTTGATCGCATTCGAAATATATCACCTAACTTCGATCAAATATGATATTCCCATTCCATTCAGTTTTTATTTATAGTACACAGCATCCCTATAATGCTCGCAGGAGAATAGCAAACTGCTTGTTATCAAAGAAAATGACTGGAAAGTAAAATATACTTATCCTACTGTAAACACATAGGAGTAACCTAGAACTACGTGTAGGACCAAAACAAACACTGCGACTTTGGTCTTTTTGTCGGTGGGCGTTTATGTGAATGTTTGTATACATACTTTGAATAACTATGCTTTCCTTTTCTAAGCAAGTTCACTTTCGAAGCCGAAACAACGACTTAAATTTAAGCAATTAAAAAGTTTTGCAATCGCATGCATTGGATTAAAAGTTTTTACAGTTTCTTGTCTCCTAATTTTCTTGATTCTCTTTGTTTTTTTCTAATCAATTAAAGCTATAACAAAATATGAAATGCAATTTTTTTTAACGCTGGCTCGCATATGCTTGGATTTTTAACAACAACTGAGATTCCAGTTCATATATAAAACGTAGAATGCTGTCAATGAAAATTTATGTATATATGTATTCTTGTTTCCGTATGTATATATATTTACGAGCGAAAATTTGATAAAACTACACACAGCTGTAAATGAGAGCCTGCAGAAAGAAAAGTCTGTTAAAGTACGAAATGGAAATGGCAGAATAACAGGCTTGAACACTTTATAAACGTTGTAGTGACACTTGCAAGCCCAATAAACCAAGGAAAAAAAAGGTAGAAAAATTGGCCAATTTAAAATCTGGCCAAACTTGGCTGTACGCATTCTAAATTAATGTTAATTTTTGATATATTGGAGTTTTTTTTTCGTAAGGTCTTAACCCTCGGTCAACATCATTGAGAAACTGTATTTAATTTCACGCAAGTGACTCATGGGTGTACAACGGGGCGGGTACACGAAAAGACGGAAAGAGTAAAATAAATTTGCATTCAGTTGCAAACGGTACAAAAAACGAGATAGACCAACGGAATCTTATGGTTGCTATAAAAAGTGGAAATGCTTTACAAAAGGATTTATGACTTCCAGTTGCTTGGTCAAAGCCAAATACTTGATGGGGGAGTGTGTGTTTGAATGGATATGCTTTTATATATATTTTATATAAAAGTATGTGAGTATGAGAGTGTGTACCCGCACATGTTTACATCAGTACATATGTGCAAAAATATTTGGCTGCACATGTTAAACGATATTTTTGTTGTTGTAAATTTTGCGATTTTTTAACGCTTGCCACAAAAGAACGCTAAACGAGCGAGTCGGTGTACTGTAGGCATCAGAATGTTCGCGAAAAATCAATTATATATAATGAAACGAGTACTAATGAAATGTTTTTTTTTTTTTTTGTTTTTTGATTTACGGTCATTTTAATAAACTTTGTAAAAGGAAACCTTCTTTACTGAATTCGCGTTAGCATTACATAAATACATAGCAAAGCCATGCAGGGCATTTCGGCTAAGGTTTAAACTACAAGTTCATACTCTTTTATGTCGTTGCTTATTTGCTCTTCAGTCGAATTAATTAAACTTGAAATTTCGAAGCCACAAATAAAAAGCTATGAAAAGTAAAGAAAACCGCACACGATACCAGTCAGAACTCAGCACAGCGAAGTGAAGTGTCCGTTAAAATTTGAAATTTCTTTAAATTTAAATATATTTATTTAAATATGCTTACACTTATATTGTAGCAAATGATTTCAATTTGCATACTAACGGCTTTGCAGGACACAACAACAATATACTACATTTTAGACTTATAATTAATTATTTGATTAAATTAATATAAAAAAAAAAACTCTTCAATTCTATTAAAAAGGCACTATTTAACGATTGTTGTTGTATTGAGTTATCGTACATTCACTTCAAAGACCGACACTGTTGACTAGGATTAACACCGCACTTATTTATCGGCCATGCCGTTCAGAAACTTTCTATAAAAGCGAAGGATTGCCGCATCTAAATGTCTCGATAGATTTGATTAACAAATAATTTTGCTTAACACAGCAAAGAAGATAATCAATCGCCAAACTACGTCTTGCCTTGCCTACGTCTTTCAAAAAGTGAATGCCATAACCTACTTGACCGGCAGTTGCTTTGAAGTTGAATAACCATCCACGGCTTACTCCGCTCTCTACATTACCATAAAGAGAATAATTATTTTTATCGTTATTATTATTATTACGAATTCCGCATTCCTCATATCATGGCTGGGAATTCACCCATTCCCGAGTGTACAACACCAAGGGCTTGGGCTCAACTGTTTTATAATTTTTTCTTGACACTATCGTTATTTATTTTCAATGTTACTCTCGCATCTGTATTTACTGATGTTGAAGCAATGTGGAGAGCAGCATTGCTTTCTGTGCCTTCTCAAGTATATGATGAATCTCTAAGTAGCTAATGCCCTTTATAACAGTTCCCGTAGAAGACGTCACGATTGGAGTTGCAGTTAAGATTGCAGTCACATTTTGTATATTGTACTTACCTTTCATTTCCAGTGCCAGCCAGCTCCGTATATTTGGGAATCTACAATGTCGATGGCCTTGTTCTCCCAACTCAGTTCGACTATGTTCGGCTTATTGGCGTTGATTGGACGACCCGTCTGTCCCAATACATTCTCATTCTCATTCATTGCAGGATGTGTGGTCTTTGTGTAGTGTGTTTCTTAGCCAAGGCTTTATGTACTATTTTACATGCCTAGTTGTGCCTATTCAGTTATACGGTGCTGGCAATGTATTGTTTCTATAATACTTCTGCATTTCCGGCGTAAGTCTGCTTCCATTTCTCGCTTGATTATATGCCCGAGGTGATATCGTGTTGATATTACTTTATCTTGTCTAGCTACAATAAATCCTTTCGTCTCACAATTAACCATTGGTGGCTATTAATTATTGCTTTATTTATTTTTTACATTTCTTGATATTATTACGTACTAAACTATGTTATTAACTAAATGCTTAAAATCTTCTCGGCTCCTTGCTAAGTGTATGATTTTCAGGTTCTCGGGTTCTCAGCCCTGTCCAATTTGGAATATTTCGCAGCCAAGACGTTTGTTTTCTGCCCATATTTCTACGCCATTCGATATTTTTCCCCATGTACCATGCGTAGTTTGTCGTTCTTTAATACACTTTATTAGTCCACCCTCAGAGTTCATTCTTCTCTGGACTTCAGCCTTGGATATGCGATCGAGCCATGAAATTTTTAGAATTCGACGGTTTGTATCATATTTCAAACGCTTCCAGTCTGTCTTTCTGTTGTTTTTTTCTAAACACCTCTGACGCAATTGTGAAACTTGGGATTTCATAGGAAATCAATCGCAGTTT